CACACACCTAATCTGTAATTACAATCGCATTCTTCTCCCGTTGCCAGTATACTATAACAAGCGCTACAAGTGCAAGTAATCACCCCAACAACGCTCAACACTCATTCCCTGCAACAAACTCTTCCACCAGTGACCAATACCATTATGCGAAACTGAATTATCAATACTTGCACTCACTCGCACGTTCAATAGTCAACATCTCACGCTTCGATAACAATTTCCACAATACATACGTTACAAATCACCAGGCTTACATGCACTAACGCCTACAATTATTCAGCGCCCGAATAGCTAATCGACATGCATCATCACGTGGCGCGGTCCCCATCCATCCTGCTGTTCCAGCTTGGTCTGCCATACCTCCCCCTATCCTCCCGCGGCATTCGCCCTCCTCCGCCACTTGTGGCGCGCGTTCCGCGTCGCTCTCAGGGGGCAATGGCGCGCGTCCCCGAGTGTTCGGTGAGGGGTGCCTCAGGGGTGCGGGCGGTTTCTTTGGCGCCGCGGATGCCGCGGTGCCGAGTTCGCATTGGTATCCTCAGGCTTCTGGCGGTTCGCGCGGCTCCATCGGGTGCGCGGGGGTTCTTCGGGGCCCGTCAAGGTTTCCGAGCTATTGGGGGGAGGAAGACTCAACGCCCCCTTCCCCTCCCCCGCGCCCCCGCCCCCCCCCCCCCCCCCCCCCCCCCCCCGAGGGGGCGGAGAGGTTCTTCGTGGCCCGTCAAGGTTTCGATGGTATGGGGGGGCGATGACGAAGAGAGCGAGGGGGGGAAGGAGGGGCAGGGAGCGCGTTTGGAGGGGGAGGGTGAGGGGGTGAGGAGGACCGCGCGCGGCACGGCACATGCACGAGCGCCTGAGCGAGATGTCGTGGGCTAGGCGGGGTGTCAGATGTGTCGCGAGCGCAGTTGCAGTAGTGTGTCCGATGTTTAATCATATGGATACCGCATGCATGTACGTATATATATGTATGGTTTATCTATATATGTATTTATACATAGTCTTCCTCTCTCCCTCTCTCGCCCCTCCCCCGCTCCTTCCCGCATCCCCCAACATAAGCATGCATATGTATAGGCACGTACACACATATATATACATATGTTTACGTATACTCCCTCTCCCTTCCTCCCCCCCCTCCCCTTCCCCCCCGCTCTCTCTCTCTCTCTCTCGCTCACCCACCCGCCTCCGCCCCTCTCATCGTCTCGTTCCTCTCCAGGTTCTGCCCTCCTCGTATCTCGGGCGCTTCCTCCGTCCCCCCTTTTGCCCCGTCGCGTGCCCTTCCCCCCTCCCTCATCCATCCCCCCATCCAGCTTTCCCTTTCTCGTGTTCTGTCCCTTTCATCGTTCTCCTCCCTGCTCCATTCCCCCTCCCCGCCCTTCACGCCAGCCTCGCACGGCCCCTCCTTCCCTCCTCCTCTCCAGCTTCCGCTCTCCACACTCGCCTCTCCTCCTTTCCCCAGCCTCACTCCCGCGGGGGGGGGGGGGGCAGGTCCGCCCACAAACATTCCATGGGACTTCGCGGGGGCTCGGGGGGTGGTCAGGGGCGCCTGGGGATCTCAGGAGCCTTCAGGGGCATTCCAGGGCAAAGTCAAGCATCGGGGAGGGGTTTTCCAGGGGCTTGAGGGGGGGCGGGTTCAGGGGTCCAGGGGGCCTTCCAGAGACGCAGGGGCTCTCGAGTGATTCCTGGATCGGACGGACCCTCGAGGGACCTAGGGGCGCGGCGTTCTCGGAGGGCCCGAGGAGGGGCTCCAGGGGTTCGGCGGGGACCTCAGGCCCCGAGGGGCGGCCGCAGGACTCGGGGGCAGGCCTCGGGCAGGTCGGGGGGCGGGGCGCGCCGGAGGGCGGGGCCCGCGGGGCTCCCGCGGAGGCCCGCCGTCGAGGGGCCCCACACTGTCCGGGACCGGGGGTGGGGGTCAGCATTTTCGGGGGGATGTGGCCAGTTTCCAAGCGTGAGCGCCTCCCCGAAATCTGACCCCCACTCACGGACAGCGGTTCCCCCCCTTTGAATGAAGGCCCCCTGGCACCTCTCGGGAGGGCCCCTCGGCCCCGCCAGGTCCCCGCGCAGCACCTGCCCGAGTCGGCCTTCGAGCTGGACCCCGAGAAGATCGCGGCTTGGGAGGCGCACCACAGAGCCCACTTCAGGCCAGCTGGGAGAACGGCCGTCCAGACGGGCGGGGGAGCGAGGTGGAGGAGGAGGATCGGAGGACGGAGTTGCAGGAGGTGGAGGAGGAGGAGGAGGAGGAGGTGGAGGAGGAGGTGGAGGAGGAGGTGGAGGAGGAGGTGGAGGAGGTCGGCAAGACAGGGAGTCTGCTTAGAGAGGTATGGGGCCCCGAGGTGGAGGAGGATCGGAGGACGGAGGTCGAGGTGGGACTGTCGGAGGGGTGAGGGGGTCGGAGGGATCGGGGCCACTCGGCCCCCCTCCTCCCCCTGATCTCCCTCCCTCACTCTATCACTCCTATCCTCTCTCCCTCGTTCTCCCCCTCTCTCCTCCAGCTTCTGTCGGCTTTCGGGTTTGCTTTCCAGGACGGTGGTGAAACGCAAGCTCGGCCAGGTTCTCAAGCAGGGGGACGACGTGAGGCCTCCCAAGAAGCGGAAACGTTTGAAAACCTTTTGGATGATCCGCATGCTGGACAACCAGCTGAAGGGCCTGGGAGTTCCTCTTCATCATTTCAGGGTCCCTCGAAATGAGGCTGGTGAGCTCGTCGGGGATCCTTTCACTTGGCCCCTGCTCAGCCTTAGCCCAGACGCTGGGCCTGATACTACTTGCGCCGACCACTTCCTGAGCTATTGCCTTAAGGATCTTAACATCCAGTGCGACTACGACATGTCCCATTCTCTGAATAACTGTAGCAAGGGGGCTCTTCGGTAGAGGGGTTTCAAGTCTGGGGCGTCGTGGCCTGGTGTCGGATTTGGGGGCCGAGGGGGGCGCGCCCCCAGGGTAGACGCCATCGGGCTGCTGGGTGGGGGGAGCGGAGGGAATGTGAAGAGGAGGAGGGGGAGGGAGTGGTCGGCGCCTGCTCGGGCTTCCCCCCTCGGGCCCCCAAGCCCGAATGGACATCGGGGTTTCTGCGGGTGCTCCCCCAGGAATTCAGGTCTTTATCGGTGGCTGGTCATCATGTCTGGGGCTGCGAACTGTGGCCATGGGTCTACGCTATCTCCTCCTCGGCTTCGTCAGCTACGCGAGGCCGTGGTCAACCACCAGACCTCCTGCCACAGCTCGGCCAACGATCACCTGTGGCAGTTCTACTTGCCGAACATTAGGAAACAGATGACCGACGTGCGACGGGGTTGCAATTGACGCGGCAGCGGCGGGTGTCCCAGGGCACGGGGGAGGGGGTTGGGACCTCGGCTTCCCCTTCGCAGTGCTTGCGCTTCGAGGCCGACCGACTGGGCTCGCCCCCCCACGCTCCCCCCGCTCGCCCCTTCCCCCCGTCGCGGGATGCACGTTAGGACATGGTTCATGGGGGTGCATGGCCTGAGTGCGCCGCCGCCCCCCCTCGCTTTTCGGCATGGAGTGGCGCGCGGCGCGTGCCCCCTCAGGTGTTGTAGCCGCTACCCTGTAGGGTGCACGTGGTTTGTTATACCCCATGTGTTCAGACTTTGAGCCCAGGGCCCTCTGTGACCTTTCTTGTGCACTGGGTTTTTCGGAGATATATCAGGTGAAGTGAGCCCCTCAGGGTTTCGGGGGCCCCCAGTGTTCAGCTGCAGCTGTCCTGGTAGTTCGGGGCACTTGGGGGGCCCAATTATAGCTCAGTGGCCCGCGCTTGCGCCGTCCTTTCGGGTTCGGTGCCCATCGAGTGTCAGTGCGACGCAGTTGTTTCCCATTCGAGGTCTACGAGGTATGAGAGGGCCATCGCCTTCTGCAGATAGTAATTCCAGGAGTTGCCCCCCCCCCTGGGGGACGGCGCGCCCCGCCCCTCTCCCCCCCCCCCCCCCTCCCCGACAGCGTTGCCCCCTCTGCGGGCGGGGGCGCGGTTTTGCTGCAGGTGCCCTGGCGCAGCCATTCCAGTTTAGGGCAATTGCGAGAGCATGTTTTGTCGTTTGTACGGCCCCTCTGCCGAAGGGTACGTTGGGGCTTCGGTGGTAGTCTCGAGGTCGACCTCTCGACCGAGCACGCCGTCGAGGCTTTCTGGAAGGACTTGAAGAACCACAGGCTGCTCACGGCCAAGGGCCAGAAGGTCCACCTCGGCAAGTTTCAGTGCCCGATCGTCGTCGCCAAGCGTTGCATTTCTTGGTTCTCCTTGCGCGCTTACATTTTCAACGTGGGCGCGCTGAGCCTCGGCTTCAAGGGGACGGACAGGTTGCAGGGGCCGAAGCAGCCTGATGCCGTTCCAGCGCCGCATCCAGATCTTCCCGCGGGCTCGAAGCTGACGCTCAAGCAATCGGGGAAGGAGCCGTGGGACGCGGGCTGCGCGAACCAACTCGACAAGGCTGCGTTCATGTATGGGTCGCTGCCCAATTACCACACGATGAGGGTCGTGGTCAACGTGCTGTCCAGCACGGCTGCTTTCCACAGCAGGCTTGGGGAGGATGATGAGCACGGGGAGGAGGGGGATTAGAGTGCGGGGGGGAGGGCGATTGGAGCACGAGGAGGAGAAGGATTGGAGTACGGCGGGGGGTGGTGGAGGAGGGGTGATGGGGCGGGCGGCCACCGCTTCTCCCTCCCATCTTTCCTTCTCGCCCTCCCCCCGCTCGCATCCCCCTCAGTCCACTCCCTTCCCTCTCATCTCACATGTCCCGTCGCTCACGCGCCCCTCCTGCCCCGCCTCTTCCCATCCTCACTCATGTCAATCATTCCCCCATCCCGTCTCGCGTTCCTTTCGCCTCCTGTTCCCGACCCTCCCCATTCGTTGTCTCGCCCTCGTCGCTCCTCCTCATCCTCGTTGCTTGTCTCCCTCCGCCTACTTATTCCCCCTTCCCCCTCCTCCCCCCTCGCTCATCCCTCCGCGCCCCCCCTCCCCGTCCACCCCCCGCCCTTTCGGCCCCCCCCCCCGCCCCCCTCCGCGCAAGGCAGAACGCGGAGTTGCGGAGCCAGGACGCGACCATCAAGTTCGAGATGAAGATGATGAGGGGGGAGATGTACCATTGCGAGCGCCTGTCGGCCCAAGTCCTCCTCAGCCGTAAGTTCTACGAGGGCATGGGCATCGTGACCAATTGGCCCGCCGCCAGCTTGAGCCTCGTAGACCCTCGGGTGGTCGAGAACGACGTGCAGGCGGAGAAGCTCGGGGCGCTGGTGAGCTCCCTGGTGCTGGAGCACTGCAAGCGGAACATGACGTTCTCGCACGGGTACCCGCGGCGCCAGGTGCTCCTGCTGAGCCCGTCCACCGCGGCGTCTTTCTTGACAGAGCTGAGGCGCGATTACACCCTGTTCACAGATTTGCAGAAGTGCGTCTTCGACGGCGCGGCCATCATGGTCGGCAGGAGTCTCTTCCAGAAGGTCTGCACCCAGCAGTTGTTGAGGTGCGTTGCGCAGGAGGGCTGGGCAGCGACGCCGAGGCCTTTTTTTTCGCCCGCTCATTTCACCCCCCTCGCATCCGGCCCCATCCTCATCCCCCCCCCCCCCACTCACCTCCTCCTCGCATTCCAGTTCTTCCTATCCCTTCTCGCGCAGGCTCCAGGAGCACGTCAAGAGGGCGGCGTCGCGCCTCATCGCGTCTCAGATCGTCGAGGACATCTTCAACAAGTCGAAGCGGCGCGTCGACCTGCAGCCCAACACGCTGTCGGCTCCAATGTCGACAATGGCCGTGGCGATCGACAGCGCCACCATCGAGAAAACGCACCACTTCGAGAAGTTGGACGCGTCGGGCATCATCCCGACCAGGGCGGCCTGCTTGGAGCCGAGCGCTTTCAAGCCGAGGGTCCAGCGGAAGTACATGTGCCCAGAGACGGAGGCCCTGGGGTTGCACAAAGTGTCCACCTACGAGGATGCCCAGTGGTTTTCGCCTCGCGCCGACGGCGCGTCCCAGCCGTATACCGACATCGAAGTGCTCCGCCAGAGCCACGCGTGCGGCTCGATGCACCTGTTGGATCGGAAGTGGCTGTGCAAGCTCGTGAGGGCGGGGGCCCTCGTGAAGCAGAAGGACGCGGCGGACTGGTTCCTCAGCATGGGCACCATCGACGACTCGCTGGCGGTGCTGTGGCCGCTGACGGCGGACGGGGATGGCACGCTGAGGGTGAACACCGCCATGCACCGCGAGTTCAAGGTCATCTTGAAGCCAGAGGATTGGACTGCCGCGAAGGCAGAGTGGGCGTCTCCGCTCCAGATCGCGGTGCGCCGTGAGCTCGCCAAGTTCGAGGGCCCCGGCCTTCCCACCCGCGTCGTCGACGTTCAGGCTGCAGGAGGAGAATGGAGTTGGAGGGGGAGGGGGAGGAGGAGGATGGAGTTGAAGGAGGAGGAGGAGGCGGAGGAGGATGGAGTTGAAGGATGAGGGGGGATGTAGGAGGAGGAGGAGTTGAAGGAGGAGGAGGAGGAGTTGAAGGAGGAAGGACGAGGCTGGGGGAGGGGAAGGAGGATGGAGTTGAAGGAGGAGGAGGAGGAGGATGTAGGAGGAGGCGCTCTGCGGTTTGCTAGTGCCTGTCGCCATTCAGAGGCTGGCCACGCGTGCGGGGAGCTCAGCCTTGGCATCGTCAAGAGCGGCCCTGGGATGCCGCTCCTCGTCTTCGCGTGCTCGCAGGGCTTCTGGGATTTACCCATTTCGTTCCTCAAGGCGCTCTGTGATTTGAACGATTGGGCTTACACGAGTACGTCTGTGTGTTCATTGCTGCAGGTTTGTTGCGATAAGATCTTGCCTGGCAACAACAATGAGTTGATGGGCGCCGCCTTCCTCGCCCGCGTGGGCCACTGCGACCGCGAGGAGGGCCTTGCCGAGATCATCTCGCTGGAGTGGATCACCGACCTCTTCGACCACACCGTCAGCGAGGAAGTTCGCACCGAGGCGACGGCGGCGAAGGCTAAGAAGGCCATGCGGACGGAGTTCATGGGCGATTACTCTCTGTGGAAGGACATTTCTTCTTCCGTGCAGTTGCCCTCGCTCTTGCCCCTTGCCACCCCCATCTGCCCTCTCCCCTTCGCTCTTGCCCTCTTGCCCTCGCGCTTGCCCTGCTGCCCCTTCCGCGCAGTTGCCCTCGCTCTTGCCACTTGCCCTCGCTCTTGCCCTCTTGCCCCTTGCCCCTCGCCCCCTTTCTGCCCTCCCCTTGACCTCCCCCATCCCCCCTCCCGCGCCCTCGCCCCCTCCCTCGCTATCTCCTTCCTCCCCCCCGCACCCTCCCTGCCGCGCCCTCCCCCTGCCCTGTTCCCATCGCCCCCCCTCCCCCCTCCTCACCCCTCCCCCCGCCCTCACTCCCGCTTCTTCTCATGCATGCGGTATGCACGGCATGAGCGCGCGCGCGTGTCGCACCGACCATGGGCACAGGCAGCAAACGCGATACGTCGGCCTGGCGCGCGAGTACGACGCCATAAGTAATGAGGCAATGTGGCAAAATGCAACGCAGCAAAGCCCAGCACTGCACAACGCAATAGAGTACACGTGCAACGCAGGAAACATGCATGCAACATACCGCACTCACCGTAACGCGGCACAACATAAGATAACACACATATCACGCACACTCACGCACGCACAATAACACACTCAACGCACCATAGCACATTCATAGTAACACAACCGCCATAACACACTCAGCACACCGCACCCAACGCAACGCATTCGCAACGCACTCAACGCAACGGCACGCGCGCAACATAACGCACATGCCAATCTCACAATGAATTGCACCATGGGCTTTGTACCTGGGGTGGGGGGGGGCGGCCCTCGGGGTTTGAAGCGGAGCTGAGCGCCCGTGGCCAGAGGGTGGGGGATCGGGAGGATGAGGGGGAGGAGGAGGGGGGCGGGGAAGGACTCGGCAGGGGAAGGACGAGGAATCGGGGAGGGGGGATGGCGAGGCATGGTTGAGAGGAAGCACGATGAGGAAGAGGGGGGGAGGGGGGACGAGGGCGGGGACGAGGGGGGGATGTGGAGGAGGGAGGAAGGAGGATCACGGGGGAGGGGGTTTGAGGGATAAGGAGTGGGAAGGGCATGGCTTGCGCGAGCCAGGGGTGGCCGCTTTTGGGGTTCTTCGATTGGCCGCCCCCCTCGGGACCTCGGTTTCGGTCTCGCCGCCCTGCTGGTTGTCGTCGCCGTCGCCGTCGCCGTCGCCGTCGTCGTCGTCGTCGTCGTCGTCGTCGTATGCGTTGTCGTCGCGCGCCCTCGCGGCATGGGCCTGCTTGCATTGCAATTCGCGCGTGCTTATGTGAACAACAACGTCCGTTTCCCGCAAAGTGCACGCCCGCCAGCCCCCCCCCGTTCCCGCCCGCGGGCCAGGGCAAGGTCCGCCGTTGGGTTCTTAGTGTCGCGTGCCCGCAGCGGGTCAGGGCGAGGTCTTCCGCTGGGCTCCCGAGTCGTCGGGGCCCGCCAGTAATTTATTCCCGCTCGTGCGTCGCGACGCCTATTGCCTGTGCAATTCCCCTTGCGCGCATTCTCCCGCGGTATTCCTGCGTTCCCCAACGCGTTCGTGGGGGTGGCATTGCGCTTCCCTGCAGCTGAGCACCGCCTATTGCCGAGCTCCGAACCAAAAGCGCGCGTTCGCGTCAGGGCGCGTCTGGTCTCCCGCGTAGCATATCCCGCAAGTTTCGGTGCTGCAGGGGCGGCCTGCTGCGCCGATGTGCGGTTTGGCGCCCCCCCGTCCTCCTCCTCCCCCCCCCCCCTTTCTCCCCCCTCCTCCCCCTATCCCCCAGTCGCGCGCCAAACGACGCGAGGGCGGCGCGGGGGGCGAGGAGGGCACGGGGCACGCGCAGTGTACTCGTGACTGCAGGGTTTCGACGAGGCGCGCGGCGCGGTGGAGCGCGCGGGGGGGGGGGGGGGGGGCGTCGGTGCGCGCGGAAGAGCGCGGCGCGGGGCCCCCTGTGGGGCCGCCCAGCTTGGGGCGGGGGGGCGCGTTAGAGGACGGCGCGCGGTGATTGTATTCAGTTATATGAAGCATTTGGGGGGGGGGGGCGAGGGAGGGGGCGGGGGTCGCGTCGCCGCGCGTCGGGTTTCCCTGCTGCCGCCCGTCTTTGTTCGCGCGGAACTTAGTGGGGCGATTCGGCGGGCTCTTCGGCTCGCCCATGATAGCTGCGCTTCTCAGCAGGTTGGCAGCCCGCGTGATGCCCGCATTCCCCATGCCCGCATTGGCCAACAAGACGGCCAGCCGACGCCACAGTGATCGGAACAACCGTGGGGGTTCCATGATCACGGCGCTCGGCGAGTACAGCGGGGGCAGCTTTGCGGTGTTCCCAGACGGGGACAAGTCTGGGGCGGACGTGCGCCAGAGTAAGCTCGCCGACATTGCGGCGCTCGCGCTCGTGGCGTTCGTGGCCGTTGAATGTCTTTTTGGCTGTTTCAGTGCCAAGCGCGGCGGCTCGTGGGGCGCCGCGCTCGTCGCGCGCGCGGCAGCGGCGAATGGCGGCGGCCGCTGCGCGGCTGCGGACACCCTCAAGGACTTCGGGTACATCGAGGACGAGGACTCAGAGTTCGCGCGATCAAGGTGTTCAAGGATCGCATTCCCAGTGATGCGAAGGCGGAGCGCGGCGGGGGTACCAAGCCCTTGCTCATCATCTGGAAGGCCACCCGCCAGGAGCTTTCGCCGCCCGCTGGGCTCGCGCCGCCCCGTTCCCAAGTCGCCATCGCCCCGTTGCCGCCCAATTCCAATGGCGCCGAGGGCGGCGCGGGGCGCGCCGCCGTTTCAATGGAAGTATACACTCCAAGTATTTCGGCCTCCCGCGAGGGCGGGACGGAGTTTGGCGGAGCTCCTCGGCCACGAGAGCCGCCGCAGAGCCCGCGCGGCTGGTGGCGCGCCCGCGGCGAGAGCGAACGCGCCGCGCCGAAACTGAGCTTGAGGGCGCATTCTGGTTGCAGGCGCGGGCGCCTCCAGATTCTTCGGCCACCCCGACAAAGGAGGCTCCACAGGCCAGTGCGACCCAGTGAATTCGGCGCACGAAACCTTGTCGGGGCCCGAGTGGCGCGCAACGTACGACGCGCAGCTTGCCCGAGTGGGCTCGCGCGCGCGTCGCGCGAATTGGCGCCGTTTGCTAGTCGATTCGCAATCCCGCGCCTTGCCTTCTCCCCTCAAGAGCATTTTTGTCGACGCCGTGCTCCTCCCCCGCCCTCTTCCCCTCCCCTTCCCCCTCCTCCCTCCCCTCCCCTTCCCCCTCCCCTCCCCTCCCCTCCCCCTCCCCTCCCCCCCCCTCCTCTCCCCTCCCCCCTGCCCTCCCCCCCGTCGGTCGCTGCTGCGGGGCGCAAGTGTCAGGCAGGAGGGCGCCGCATGGCGCTGGCATTGGGCGCGCGCACGCAGCGGGGCGCCGCTGTCATTGCGGCAATCCTGCAGGCGGGCGGTCGCCGCGGCGGAGACGCCTCCAAGCGCGCGCCCTCTCGCCGCCGCGGGCGCCCCCGTCGCGCTGCGACGAGACTGTCAACTACCTTTTCGTGGGCGGCAGAGGCCGAGGGCGTCGTGTCCGACGCCGCGGGCCGACGCCTCCACGGGGGCGCATGCGTCGACAACGGCGCGCGCGGGTCATTGACGGCAACTTGGCCCACGCGGTGGGCACGTACACGCGGGAGCGCATCAGCGTGGTCGCCCACTCGTTCAAGGGTTGCATCGGCAACGCTGCCGACGGCTGCACGGCGCGCTTGTTTTCAGCGGGGCGGGCGAATGAGGCGCGGCGCGCTTCTCATGCAGTCGGGCGTCACATGCAGCGCAGACGACGCCTTGGTCGTGGACGAGGCGGGCATGGCCCCGCAGTCGCCCGCGAAACGGCGGCTTGGCTGCGGAGCCAGTGGCACAGAGGCGCGGCGCCGTTACAGGATTTCGCGGGGCGCGCGCGGGTCGGGCGCGGAGCGGCCCCGACGGCTTCCAGGGCTGCAGATCTGTTTGGCGCCCTGTGCGACACCATCGAGGCCGCGAGAAGCAGCGCGGGGTGCTCCGCGGCCATGGGGATTTCGTCGCCCCAGATGCGGGCCTCGGAAGGGCAGGGGTTCCGCCGCCGACGACAGCGACCACGGTGACGACGAAGACCGCGACGGCGACGACGGCGACGGCGGCGGCGGCGGCAGCGGCGACGACGATGACGACGACGACCCGACGACGACGAAATCGGCGCAGACCCCGACGTTTCGCGCAATCGCAGGGGGATCGCCGCCGCGCCCGTGCTGTCGGCGTCGCTCCCCGACGCAAAGGGGGCGGGCGCAATCTGCGACGGCCCCCCATGGTCCCCTCCCTCCCCATCCCCTTGTCGGTCAGTTGCTTGCGCGCTTTGTCGCCGTCTGGCCAGTTCATTTCGCCGTTCGGGCGCGCCGTGCATTTCCCGCGCCGCTTCCATGCATTTCCAGCATTTCCCGCAGCGGTGTCGCGCTCGACGACGCAGTCGACGACATGCTTCGCGGGAAACTGGATCGGGGAGTTTCCCGCCAGTGGAGACGTCCCACTGCGGCTCGAAGCCGACGCGACGGGCATCTGGGCGGCCCGCCACCCGCGATTGCATGGCGGGCGCTCGGTCCTCCGCCGACGCGTTGTTGACCGCCGCGTTCGCGTCAGCCGCGAAACTCTCGCCGCGCGCCCCCGCGCGGGGGCGCCGCAAGGCGAAGCATTTCACCAGGATGCAGTGCCAGGCTCCCCACGGAGACCTCGGTCCAGTACGCGCCTGGATTGCTGTACAATCCCAGATGGCGCTGGATCGCCAAGCGCAAGGAGCGCCGCGGGGGCCGCCTGCCGAAGATCTCCAGGGCAAGTTCGCGGGGCCGCGGGGGCCGCGGGGGCCGCGGAGCCGCGGGGCCCCCGAAGAAGAATGCCATGGGTACAGTGGCTGGCGCGCCCGCTGCGCGGGGCCCGTGAGCTCGGACGAGGGCTTCGGAGGCGACGCCCAATCCGTCGGCGACGCGCGCGAGTGGGCGGTAGGAGCGGGAGATTTGAGGCACGCGGGGAGGGGGCG